GGCTTGTGCTAATTACAGGTATAATTAAAGTTTTGTTAAGGAAAGACTTTCAAATAAATCTTTCAAAATAAATCTTTTTAAATATCAAGAAGCAGTTAAGTATACAAACTAAATTGATTCTCTGCAATAATGTGAAAGAGAAAGTACTTCTCAAGTACTAAAAATGTGGCGGTTCCGTTTTATATTCCCCTAGAAACCATTAATAGAAGCACCTTCCTCTATTTTCTGCAACTTGCCAATAACAGATGGAAAGCACTTAAGTCATGTGCAACTCTCAGGTTAACATGGTCCACCTCTAATAAAAAGAGATCCTCGGAAATCATCCAAGAAGGCCGCGTGAACACTGCAAGGCTTACTGCAGTTCTGTTTGGTCATTAGTGTGTACGAACCCATGCATAGACTCTGCGCAATCCCCATAATCCTCACTGCAGAAGTTGTGGAAACCCGCAGGAGAAACAAAACCATTAAACCATTCTCTGTGATTGCCCGGCTTTGGCGTCCAAAAGATATAGGTTCTTAGGAAGATACTTCTTTGATAGTTGATCAGACTGTTCATCAGTGAAGACGAAAGACCTATTAAATTATCTAAATTCGGCGGGATGCATTTAGTCTCTACTCTTCTATACTAGGGTTCTTGCGAGGAATGTGGTAGCAAAACGGCGAAAAATCTGTAATTAAGATACATGGAAGTTATCTAATGGAGTAAACGTCGGTTAACGTCTTATACATCCTACATCAAGACAACTTCTCTTGTAATTATTATAGAGAAATTTACACATTACAAGAATTGAAACATTTAATGCATCAGTCTGAAATTTATATGAATAAAGTAATAACTCAATAAAAATAGTTAAAAAAAATTAAGTGGAATTTATACACATATTAAGAGACTGTATATGTGCTTTTTCACTTTACATAATTTATGAAAATTAAACCCTGCCAGACTAAATTTGCATTAAAATGCTAATATATTTTATCTTATGTATAATAAGCATTAATTTTAGAAATGCTATTATAATGGATACATGAACATTAGTTAAAGTGGCAGTGAACCTAATATACATTAAAATTGAATTTTATTTAATTAAAAGTTATTTCAACAAATAATTATTTCATTCAAACTCAAATATTTCATATAAATCAGATTCATATTGAATTGTGGGATAGTAAAATCCTTCAGAATAAAACTGCAAACAAATTGAAACCATTAGGATCCTGTAAGCAGATTCCAGTAGTAACAACTACAGTCGCAGTTGTAAGAGCAGCAGGACCGGAACAGTTATGGCACATTTAGTTATGCTTGAGAGATGTTTGCTTGGCTTTTGGGTTTGTGTTGCAATTATTTTGGGCATTGTTAAGGACACTTGCATTTGTGTGGCCCACAAAAATTGATGTTCTTTTACAAATGCATTCGTTTGTTTGTGTAATCTAGTATAATCGACACTTTAAGGCATATCAATAACAGCAACGACAACAACGACAGCAACGATTTAGTGTTCTTACCAAAATTTGGGTTTGACTATGGACTATGAATGCATTCTGCTCGTCTATGGATGCATGAAACAAAGAGCAGCTCATTTTGACATTTTTCGGCAAAGAAGATGTACATATGTGGAGTTTCGAAATTCACTATATATCAATGAAAATGCTGCATAGGGATAGTAGTTCAAGCAGTGGTTAACTGTTTGTTGTAAAGCTGCAGATGAAATGTAGTATAATTAGCATAACAAAAATTGAAGAAAAAATTATTGGACTGATATGGGAATAATTTTTGTTACTCTATTAGTGATTTAAAAATGCTTGTGTTAAAGCAAGTTAAGTCAAAAATATTCTTTTATAGATACTACCATAAATATTGGTTAATAATTTCTATAAGTGAACTGTATGAAATCTTTATTTGATTTTAATTGTTATTGAATAAATATTATTAGAGTATTATTAGAGTAAGATTTATTAGAGTATTGTTCTAATATCTTAAATGAAATAGCACGGTTTTTGATAAATCTTATTATAACCTTATTATAACATTTACTCTATAGTATGGTATATTAGATTTGTTAAGATGTTTGTAATATTATAAAAGAGACATCGAGGATATTCTAAAATATAAATGTGTATTTATATATGTACTCAAAACCACTGAAGCAATATGTGTTATAATATTTGTATTTGTATTTTTGAATTTAAACGTTATTTATTACAATATATCGTTTTTACTATATTATATTCTCCAGATTCTCAAGACATTTTTTACAGTTAAGCATATTTAATAATGTGATTAGTCTTTATTAACTAGTAATGTTAAGATCTAGAATGTATAAGGTGATATATGAGTTGAACTGGTTCAGTAGTAGCAATGCATACACCTCATGGTTATTAAGTTGCCATGTAGTATTAGATATATTCAATAATATATTTAGTTTTTGAAGAGTTCTGTCACTTGATATTGTTTTACTTTAATTTCTAATATATTTAAATAATTTAGTTTTTTGGAAAAAAGTAATTCTTTCCTCCCCATAACTAACTTTATGGTGGAATTACTTTTATTTATGTAGTAATTTTAATACTTAAATTACTACAGAATTTTAATTGTGCTTATTTATTAAATATATTTATTTCCTACACAAAATTAACTATGAATTAACACAACAATACTTTACATATATATGTATACTTAATTTGTTTAATTTAATAAGATTAAAACCACAACCTGTTTTAAACAATTTCTTAAACATTTATAAAATATGTCTTAATCATATTGTTCGAAATATACCAAGCGCCCAGCATTTTCAACAAGAGTTTGTTAATAAAATATTAATAATTTATCGCATTATTCAAGCGATGTTTAGCAATGACAACACCATTTGCGCTCGCGGTTACACACATTCTCACATTCTCATGAACTCATGGAGTCTTTTTTATTTATTCTAAAATAAGGTGACCAGGTGTAGTCGAATAAAGCTCTTTATGTTATGCGAGTATACGTTTATATAGTTATGAAAATATTTAATGTTTAAAAGAAAAATAGACTACAATATTTCAAACTCTACTAATACTCTACTAATTTGTCGAAGTAAAGTAATTTAAAGTAATCTTGTTAAAGTAATTTAATTTTATATTTATATTGTACAATTAAATTTATTAGTAATAATTTTTATTTAATTTTTAAGATAAGTTATTAAAAGATTAATTTAAACTCCGGCAGACGACAAAAATGCCGTAGTTGTAGGTTTTATATATATAATATAATTGTTTTAAATTTCTTTGTAGTATAACACATTTAAAATGAGGTAAACTAAGCTAAAATACTACTAAAACACTACTACCATATTACATATCTTGTCAGCAGTACTAGTAATTATTAGAAAAAAGCAGTGACAGCTTCAAGAAATAAAATTATAATGTGGAAGTAGATCATAAGAGTTCGTTTCTAATTTGATTAAAAAGCTTAAAACTTAATAGATAACATAAAAATAATTACAAATACGTACACATGGGATACAATACAATAAGCAAAAGAAGAGTGAGAGGGAAAGGGATTGAAGATGATAAGGAAAAGATTGGGGTGGGAAGGCATCCTAAATAAAAACAAAGAACCCTAACCACATCCATTGGACAGAACCAAAGATCAATTGGACTCGTTTGTGTGAAAACTATTACAGTTCTATGTAAAAAGTTTTAAAATATAGTTTAATTGTCAACAGATAATATAAAAATAATTACAAATACGTACACATGAGACACAATAACATAAGGCAAAATAAGAGTGAGAGGGAATGGGATTGAATATGCGAAAGAAAGGATTGAGTATAAGTGGGATTTCATTAAAGTCAATTTAAATAAAAACAGAGGACCCTAACCACATCCATGGGACAGAGTCAAAGATTAACTGGTCTCAAGTTTGTGTGTTAACAGTTCTATGTAGAAACTTTTAGAATATAGTTTAATTGTCAATACTTGGCGCATGATTGGGTTTAAAACCCTCCTATCCTATAATTGATATTTATGTTGTAAATTTCATGACAGGCTTAGATCTTAAAGCACTGATGTCCCAATGAAGAAGAAGTCACAACTGTAATTTATTTTAAAAAATTTTAAAGTTAATTTTTTAAAGCTGATATAAAGAATATGAATATATTCAATTGAATTTTTTGCGATTAATTTACAATAAGGGATTATGGGATTTTTGTTATGGAGGCAGTTTTAGCCCGAAATAATCATATGTGCAATGGATATATTTTTGTTTACTAATAATTTTGAGAACTTAACTCGAATAAACTCATGGAACTTGGCGTTTTTCATTTAACCATAAGGCTTGTTCCATGAAATATCAGATATGACTTAAAATATTTTTGACTAATGCATAAAGTAAGAATCGGACAACCGAATGAATTTCGTTGTCCAAAACAGGGCATGAACAATTCTTTTTCAATCTCCAAAATTTCGTAATACTGTGGTGTAAAAAGTGCAATTACTGCACAGTAAGCTCAGCGAAAAATTCGAAGTCATTTCGATTTGGTGTTGTTATTTGTGTCATTGCAGAATGCAGCCAGAATGTTGCCAACGAGAAAGATGAATTGTATTGCAATGTGCTTTCGCAACCGCACATAAAACAATTGCCAACTGACCGCAAACTGACGGACAAACGGAAGACATTCGTATTCCTTGCGTACGTTAGACGTTCGCCGCAAATGAAAATGGACTAAGTCAATGGTGTTTCACTGTGGTTACTATACGATTTATAGTCTTCAATGCTATTGAAGTTGTCCAGTATATGAGCTATGTGTGCTATGTGTGCTATGTGTTCGTTTGCTGTGCTGCCACACTAGAATAGAAATTTATGGCAGCCAATTGTGAAAAAAATCAAGTAAATTTATTTACTGCAACGAAGATAAACGATTGCGAAAATTTCCACTTTTACAAATGTCATGGTCAGGTGTGGCCCAAAGGACACGCATGCATTTACAAAAGCAATACCAACGCATAAAAGAATTCGTAGCTTTAGTTTTTAATTATGTAAAGTCGTTTATTAAAATGTCTGAAGCATTGTTATTGATAAATTGTTATGAGAACAAAAGTGCAAAATAATAAAAAAATATAACATAAATTTACAATTTGTATTTGATGGCGCGAAGAAGAGGATATTTGTCACCAGTGCAAGCACCACGGAAATCATCGAGAGATAAATCGACTAGAGCAATGCCACCTAAGCCTTTGGTTTTGACGTATGCAGCCTTATTGGAGGCACTGTCGGGATCTTCATAGCTCACCCACATACCATTCTCACCGTTATCATCAGAGGCGCGATAAGCATAGTTGCCAAACCGTTTTGTTGGATCACCCACTTTACGCAATGGCGCATCAGCACCCTTCAAATGTTGATTGGCGGGATTGGGTAGTTTAGAGCAAACTTCTGGCCAGCTCAAAAGACCTGGAGATTGTTCTTGCAAGCTAGTAACAGCAGCGCCGTCAGTGCTAGCTACTGGTGGCAAACCAGTCAAACCAGAATCTTTGGTCATCTTCCATGCACGACCATATGTTGCAACGCCAACATTAAGTTTAGTGGCTGGTGCACGGTTGTTGAGCCAGTGTTGCACTTGATAGTTAACATTGAATTCAGGATTGCGTTCATTCAATTCAAAGATTGGTGATGGAAAATCGCCAACTTCTGGATTGCGTTCTGGTGTGTTGAAGTCATAAGCCATCAGATTAACATAGTCCAAATTATTGATTATAGCAGGGATGTCGAAGAACACTATAATTAAAATAAGTTATAAATTTTAGTATTTTATTTCTTTTCATATTTTTATTACTTACATGAAGAATTGACATTTGGTAAAACAGTCAAGCCTAAAATATAGTTATCTGGACGGAAAGCATTTTTCAGTTCACGTACTAAAGCAGTGAATTCTTCTTTATGTTCCTCAGACTTTTCATCAACAACGAAATCACCAGTGAAGATTTTCTTAAATCCTTTCCAGAATTTACCAATACCGCTGTGTACTTTCTTTGCTTTATTTTTAGGGAATTGCCAAGCTAAATCCAAACCATCAAAACCGTATGTCTTGATTAAGGAGTGAGCACTATTAATGAATGGTATGCGCGCATTGCTACTCTCCAAAAGTGTCAAATATTTGTTGCTATCTGGATCTACAATGTCACTATCACCGCCGACACTCAACAAAACTTTCAAGTGTGGATATTTCTTTTTCAAATTTGTTAAAGCGCGATAAACACCACTGCCAATATCCAAATCCAGTTTTTCGTTGGGGCTGACCAATTTATTCGAGGTTGGATTAATGCTGGCATAACCGTAAACCAAATGTGAGCAGAATTGCAAAGCCGGTTCCAAGTCACTAATGATCAATTTCGCAAGACCTGTAAAAAAAATATTGAAGAAAGTGAATTTAGTACAAGTGCTTGACGTAATCAAATCAATTTGTTTTTATTTAACAGTTAAATTAATTTTATGCGAATTTAATTCCATTGAGATTTTGGGTTGCGCACTTTCTGATACTTAGTCATATTGTCTAACGCGGTATACATAACGAATTGGTTTTGTTACATCAAAACAACAACAAACTCAAAATTTGCATAGTCAATTAGCGCTACTGAGAGTGAGCTTTTTTTCGCTTGAGGCTGGCAAACGAGACCGGGCTTTTTAGCAGCTTCAAGTCATTATAAGTAACTTCACACATGAGACGACCATTAAGTGGATAGGCAAGCATACGACTGTGATGCTAATTGACAGCTCGTCGGGGCTAGGCTGAGCTGGGATTTTTATTGTTTTGCTTTGCTTTTTCTAAGAATTAATTAAGATAATTTTTTTTGTAGTTTTATTTCTGTCTCAGATTTCAATTGCCTACTGTCAGAAAAGATTAACATATGACATACAATTCACCCACATACAGAACCTATAAATAATCGGCTTTAAGAACAATATCTGCAGGCATGTTAAATAGTACTTTCATTTATACATATAGACTTTATTTAACATACATTATATATAATAATTTTTAGTTTTTGTAATATTAATAATATTACTAAGTTTAATATCCATACATTTTTTTATTTAAAATGTAAATTGAAGCATTAATCTTACTTTAAAGTGAAAGTTGTGTTTGCAAGTGTCAGTATATATCATATAAAGCATATATATATAGTCTTATGTTACTATTAGAATCAATTTATTTTTCACAGATTTTAGTAGAAAGTTCAAATTTTATATATACAATGAGTAATTGATCTTATGACCCTGCTTCAATTTGCAATAATAAATTAACAAATTGATTTAATATTAAATTGTTTTTCTAGATATATGTATATATATCTAGTAGTAAGTAACTGCGGTTTTATATATATACAAAGTCATTTGTTACTATTTTTGTAAATGAGATCAGAATATGAATATTACGTTCAATTACAAATTTGCAATTTAAAAATAGTAGAGAAAATTAGTTTGAGTTTTGCGGAATACAACCTCAAATGAGTAATTAAAAATGCTACCGCTTTTGTCATTATGTGCTAAGTATACTGTAAACAAATTTATTTCATTTGAAATTAAAAATCATTTCTAGAATAAAAAGTAATTTATTCAAACAAAGTAGTTATTACAAATAATATATTACAAAATATAAAAAAAATATTGTAAAATTAGTAGGAAAAATGGTAGAAAAATAAACTAAATCATAATTATACAATAATATAAACGATATAAAAATATTTTCTTTTATTTTATTAAAAAATATCCATAACTTAGCATATTTAATATTAATCATAATTTCGTATTCGTATTCTAAAGTAAAATTGAATATAAATGATCAAAACCATTTAGTAATCAAAACTTTAATAACTTTCTGGCCAGTGTTTCTATAGTCAACTGATGTTTAGCAAGTTATATATATATATACTATACATAGTCAGTAGTAGGGAACTATCGGTAGCAGTAAATATTAAAAAAATATAACAAAGATGATAAAGGTTGATATAAACTCTAAACAGCGAAAATAAAAAGCTAGTTTTGGCCTCGATATAGCTACTAGCTAGAGCACTCTTCATACATAAAGTTTTTGCTATTAAGCTTATTCAGTTTAATATAAATCGAATATTGTAATAATATCTTTATGTGCTATGACAGGAAATCTATCCCTGTCATATATCTTTTCGAAATAAATTTCTTGCTATGGGACAAAAATGATTTTTAATACATTAATTTAATTTTTAATTCAGTGAAGTCTTGGATTGGCCAAGCAGTTGATTGGGATGCTGTCAAATATATATCATCAGTGGACATAATAATATACTTAATTTATAATTTTATGCACATAACATATATGGTGGATTGTCGAGATTGACAGAATTCTGTATTTACTTTTTCAATGTACTTGTGTCTTTGATGGACACACAAGTGATATATAGTGGTTCAGAAGTGATATATAGTGAGTGGTTCAAAAAACAAACAAAAATATCATGGTGAAGTAGATCATTAAGAGTTCATAATTGATTTAAATCTGATTTATATTGATTAAAGCATTAAAAGAATCTATTTTGTGAAAATATTTATACCTCATTGGCGGTTAGTATGGATAAGATATTGTTAATATAAGAAAAAATATTGGAAAGTAAGTATAGATTCTTGCTAATGTAGATACGAAATTTATATTCACGGTTCACATGAAAGAACTGAGGGATAAGCTAAGTTGGCTAACTGACTTATTTGCGGAAGCGGAATATATATATATATAAGCGGAAGAAAATGCATATGTACTGACCACAATCCGCTGCTCTGGTGAGTTTCTGCCGGAACTAAATCTACCCATTGACTACCTTAGTATTATTTCGGGGTAGGGTGCCTATTACTCATTAAGACTTTAATTGCAGTGATTTGCGTCTTGTCGCCGCTAAGAAATCATCTTCATAAATATTTATATTGCATTATCTACTGAGGCAGACTTTGAATAAACAAACTCCTATATATGCAATACAATGCACATATATAGTTCATACTTCTTGCATTTGCATTCTTAGTTATTGTTCTTAGTAAACAAACAAAACAAAACAAGAAATGTGCATATAATGCACGGAAAGGAAAAAAAACAAAATAATTAGTATAATAATAATAGTTGAAACAACAACGTCAGCTTCAGTGAAAATGAAATGAAGAAATGTGCCATTAGGATTGAATATTTCTATAGAAAACTTGAATATAAGTATTTCTATGTTAAAAATGTTTGAATATTTACTGACACTCTAATTTCCTAATATTAAAAAATATTTTCTATTAATAAAATGTATTTTTGCAATAATTAGTTTATGTATATTAAAACTATTTTATATGTTCGTTTATATATATGAAGTTTTAGCACATTGAACATTTATATACACCCGGTATTTTACATTTTATAAAAAGTTATTCTGTTCATTTAGCGGACCTCCTACGTGTTTGGCAAACATTACAAAAATTTACTTAACATTATTTTTTAAGTGATTTTTTTTCTTTTTATTATTGTTATCAAAATAATATTTTTTAACAGCTTTTTAAGGTTAATCTTTAATTAACATATGCTATCATATTTATATATATATACAATTATATATTTGAGTTATTGTAGTAATCAGTTTGTATGTGAAATCAAAGTGATTTAGGTTCTTTTTTATAAACTGGCATGGATGGGGCTCAAGAAATATAAATAAAAATTTGATAACCTTTAACTTAACAAATAATTTTTCTTTTATTGAATTTTTATATAAGTGCAAGTAAATAAAGAATAACTAAATAACAATAAACAACAATATACATATATTTCTATAGTTATAAGAATTTTATATAATTAAAGTGTCTATTTCTTGATTATATTAAATTATGCAATGTATTATATATTCTGATAATTCTACATCTTTAGAAATGAGATACTTACAATTTAATCAAGTTTTATTATTTCAGTCATATTTATACTTTTATATTTAAAATATGCAAATTAATTAAAAAATAATTTTAAAATGCTAAGTTCATCAGAATATATTTTATCGCTATTATTTATCATATCACAAATAATTTTCTAGAATATGTGCTTCGAATCAATAATTTAATATTAAAAAAATACCCAAATGAAGGGTAATTAGTACATACAGTATTAAATAATTGAAATTATAGAAATTCAAGGTACACGCCACACCTAATAAATATTTTTCATAAATTCGAAAAAGTAATAAGGGTTAACTTTAAGTAGTTTTATATCTTAAATAACTTATTCCGAAGTTCACAATTGGAAGATAATTATATATAATTATATACACATTATAACAGTGTAGTTTTTCTATTCAATTTTTATTAATATATCATATACTTTTATATTTATAATTAATATTCAGTCTAATTATAGATAAAATGAGACATAAAAATTTAAAAAAATTATATTTGATATTAAATCATTTGAGAAAAAACTTTTAAATTAAAATATATTTATGAATTATTATTATGAAATAAATTTTCTAAAAATTTTTAGAAAATTTGAAAAATTCCATATAAGACTGAAATAAAATTTTTCACAATTTTATTTTAAATTTCATTTTGGTCCTTTTAAACAACCGAAATATTAAAACACATTTTCAGTATCCCAGTATGTTGCAATGTCCTATGAGACCAACTCAATTATTTTAAGTGAAATTGAAATCTTTTAAATCCTTTCAAATCTTTCCTCTTGGCAATGGAATGACTAAATTTCATTTCATTTTTGCATTTCTATTATTATTTTTTAACGTTATATATATTATTTTTTGTTGTTTTTCTGGTTTTGTTTTATATTTTTATTTTTCTATTTCTATTTTTTATGTTTTAATTTCTTTTAATCGTTTTTGCATAATATTTTTCTAATTTGTTGCAGTAACTCACCTTCACGTAGGTAGCTTTTTCCCTCGTAGTAGCAAACCAAATGTGAATTACCCGCAGCTGCATAAGCGCTCACAAAAAGGGATAACAAAACGAAAAATTTCATTTTGTTTCTTTATTTTAGATTAAAACTAAACACTAAATTATAAAAATATTTTAATTATATTTAGCACACTTGTCTGCAATGCGAACCGTTCGCATCAAAGCTAAAACTGAAACTGATCAGTGATCTTGAGACGCGCTCTAAGCAAACCTTTTGAAAGCCGCATTTAAATAACAACAAAATTGAATTGAAATTGAAAACAAAAATTGATAATGAGACAGATTCAGTTTTAGTGCTAATTGCCTTCTTTTTAATTTTTATTTTATTTCATATTATTTTACTTCAATTGTTGTTATTATTTATTTGGTTGAAGTACGCTACTGACGGTGTTAGCAGACTAAAGGAATATAGTTGTCATATATTATATGTGTATATTATGTGCATGTATTTTTTAACATTGCTGTCTATTCAAAAACTTTTTACGAAGTGTTTTTTCTACTTTAGGTGCTGTTGACTGGCACTTTCTTTAAATAAATATTATTTTTGTTATGCTTTTTTGCAGTATATTTCATTTACGACAGACTTAAAGTCAGACATTTACTTTTGAAGACTCTTTAAGATAATTCCAATTAATCAATGTATAATTAAAGAATAATAGTATTCTTAGAATACACACATGTATAAATGTAGTTCAGTAAGGATTCAACTTCGTAGCTTCCTCGTGGCTATATACCACGCTTGTGTCTTGGCTATTTCTTATTTTTTCTATTTTCTTTTTTCTCATGATAATTGGCACTTTGGCTGTTGTTATATTAATATAATTTAGTTAATAGCTGATTCATACTATACATTTATAGTCATATTGATCCGACAAACAAAATTGCAAATCAATTGTTATTTATACAATTTAAAATTAATAACAATTAATATTTGCCATAAACTGATAATTGTCACTTTAGCAGTTGTTATTTAAGTAGAATTTTGCTAATAGCACATTTACATAATACATATAATCGTCATATTTATCCGACAACCAAAAAAACCATTAAATTGTAATTTCTATTTAATTAAATCAAAAGCGTTTTCATTAATAATTGCCATAAACTAAAGTAAAACAAATCTAAATTTTATGACAATGATTATTATTTCTATTTCTATTAACATAACTATAAAAATAAACATTAGGAACAAAATCAAGATAAGATCAAGATATGCTGTGTGAAAAGGCATTTAATGAATAGGCGAGTCAAACGAACAAAATTATATTTAAAATTATAAATATTTGTGCTGAGTAAATTGATTATAAGTTGAACACTGACTGCTTGCGTGAGTGTATTAGGGCAACTTATTTTGTAAATTATATTATTTCGATTTTATTTTATAATTGTAACATAAAAATATTTGTTAATAAAAAATAATAGCGAAGAAAAGAGATATATTTCAGATATATTTATTTTCTTATAGCGTTTTATATAGAGTAAATTGTGTTAATAAAATACTTATTATCTAATGCTTTCCATATACATATATCCTCAATATATGTATTTTTCAATTTTTTCATATTTTTGACTATAACCTGGATTCGTGAAATTGTTTAAATTCGTTAAATTATGATTTATTTTCATTTTTGCTTAAGTTGTACTTCTATACGTGATGTTCTCTACCACTCTTTTCATTTAAAATTTTGTGGTCCAATTAAGTTTAAAAGTGGTTCCTACAAGTGTAAAGCAAACATTCGGTTAAAATTAGAATAGTTCACCCAAACCTGTACTCTAGCAGAAATTAAATGCAGTGTTAAAATTGATGCGGCTTATTAAAGAGATTTTATATCAATAATAATAATTTTATTGGTTATTTAATATTAATTCTAATATTTAACTATAATTTGTTTAATAGCATAAGAGTATATATATACACATATATGTATATATATATTGCTATAAATACTATATATAATAAATATTTTGTTATTATATTTATAAATGTACGGAGATTTCTACTGTCATGAGCATCAACAGAAGTTAAATACGCATGGCCTATTGTTTTTGTTAATGATGTCATCTTGCTCTCACTCAATCATTTCAGTACCAGAATAAATTCAGAGTTGTTGCTTATTACACTGACTGCGGACGTTTAAAGTCTGTCTGCTGATAGAGATCAATGATGTTGAAAATAAACTTAAATTACTCAGGTAGTTTTATAACAAGTTTACATTATAACAATTAAGAATTAAATATTGCGTACTATTGCAATATTATAAAACTGTTAGACAAAACCTTTTTTTAAATAATAAAATAAATAAGAATAAAATATATAATAAGTAAATAATTAACACAATAATATATAAAAAAATTGAAGATACAATATAAAATTTAATTACAAAAACATTTGACTGTAATAAATTATTTTATTTTGTAAAAAGAGATATTATTATTTTATAAGTCATATATAGTATAGTTACATCGATTTGTACAGATTTAACAAAATATGACTTGAATTTATATTTAGAAAGACCCTCAAATGCATTCAATTAATTCTAGATATCCTTTTTTTAATTTTTTTAATACAATTTTTAATTATATATTTTTATATAGTGTTAGCTGTAATTTATTGCTTCCAAATGGACTCCTTAATCACTAGCATGATATTTATACTATATAATCTCTACATAAAGGGGTTAAAAATAAGTTATAATATTTTTATTTAGCGTTAAAATTTAGGATGGCCATCCTAAAAAAAATTGTTAAAATCTAATTTTTTTTATTATTTTATTATTAAGATGATTTTAATCTTATTAAAATTCCAATATCATTTTGTTTGTACAGCCAATTTTGTTTATCCGTATTTGTCGGTACGTATTAAATCTGGTGGACACGTTTTAGTATTGTTACAGGTATCTATTAAAATTACTTTTAGATTTATTTTATCAATTAGTGTCCTATTTGACTTGATATCATTTTCATGCAATGATTGCGGTTTATCAATCACCAGATGTCATCAGGTAGGTATGTCAAGTTGAACGAGGATCGAATATTTCTCAATTAACTAAAAAAGCTGTTTTGAATTTTTGTGACTATCGGAAAAAGGTTGAACATATTAGAACCTGTTGGACGCTTAAATTAATCTCAGTATCTGACCAACACTAATGTTGGAAATATCGCTAAGTGAATTAAAAAAAAGCTTGAGACTGGGAAGAGACATAATAGATATTTCGGTGTATCCTTTTAGAGCGCCAGTAAACATGCAGTACAAGAGTTTCGACCTACCCTGGCTCAAGTGTTAAAACTGATATTGTCTTACATACTTCCGATTTACTGTTATAGGTTAGTCAGTCATTTTACTTTTGGAGTTAATAAACCATATTGTTTTCGACCTGACTACTAAAGAAATGTTTGTCCTACTTTTGTTGGATTGTCACAAACGATAATTGTTTGTTAACTATAGTCAATGGCTGTCAGAATCAAGAACTGAAATGAGAGGTTCCATAGAAGAAAGTCATCATTAAGTAGTTCTTATTTATTGTATATAAGTTTGCATAGTTAAGAACATTATTGCATTATATCCTGCATATTTTAGTTTTCATCTCATATTTATGACACTTGTCACTGGTTATTGTGACCGCTACTAAGGTTTTGTACTAATCCTAGTTGTCGGAACTAAAAAAACAGAAGGCTTAAAACTTTGTGCGGATCGAACACCATTAAAGGTTTTCCTCTATATATTCTTTTATTTTTCTTACTAAAAATAGCTTGACCAAACTAATTTATTCTCTATTCAATCTAGTGTCAAGACCATAAATAACTCTTCTTTAAAATATGGTAACGTTATAAAATTTTATATTTGCATACAGTCTATTGATAGATAATGAAAACACAAGTAATTTGATGAATTCAACAAATTTAATGGAGATTTGAATAATTTGAATCGAAAATTGAGCTACTTTATGTACAAATATACGTATATAGAAGAATATACATATCAAGAGCCAACGTATTTGCTAAGTAAAACCTAAACAAATATCAACAGTAATTCTACGGAACCAGCAAACTTATCAGTACTGAAAACTATAGTGATTTTCTATTAAAAGAAAACTGTGATCACTTTTATGAAATTTGCATTGCCAGCTAAATACTGATAATAAATAATTATATTAACATTTGCTGTACAATTGAATCAAACAAAAAAAAAAAAACAATAAAATCTATTACGTTCAATATGTTTTATCAATATATGTCAGAGGTCAACTGAGGGTATTTCACTTGAAATAACTAATCAATTAAATTTTTTTCCATCATGTCTGTCTCAGCTTAAAATAATAATAAAGAAAAGTACACTTTTATACGTAAATTAAAATTTAAAAATTTAACTTGGAAGGTAAAATGATTATATTTTTATTAATCACAAGCAAACATCTAAAATCCGCTGATGCCTAAAACAAACAAAAATAAACAAAAAAGAAAAAACAACCGATGAGATACTTAATTTTGTTTTCAAGTTTAATTTTGACGCGTCGTACGTGAGGCAAATTTTTATTGTTTGAAGATACGTTAAAGTTGTATTTCCTTAAGAAAAGATTAACAATGACTCACATCGAGTATGAATTATTCTAAAGTAAATTAAGGTGTTTACGTTGTTTATTTAATAAAAAAATTATATAATTTTAACACAATGCAATACTTAATTCCCCAATGAGTTTAATGTTAAATATTCTTTGAGCTAAAAAAACTGGTGAGTTTTTAGTTCATTTATACATTACATCAATTTTATTTAATTTCATTTTTTGTAATATTATTCTATTTTAATTAATTATTATTATTTTCCAAAGCAATGAGTTTTGAATAAATATTTGAAGTTGTAAATAAAAGAATAACCAAAATATTTATTTAAGTAATTTAAATGTTTTTTTCATTCTTCGATGAATGAATGTATCTGTTTATTTTAATTGTATTAAAATTCTTAGAAATTTGGTAGATTATTCTTGAAAAGTGAAAACAATGAATTGAATTCATAACATGTTTCATAATCTTTTGTTAATAAAATGCGTAAGCACACAATTTTACCAAAGATAGAATTTTTACTTAATTCTAAAATTTTCAAGTTATATTAATAATAAATGTCAAATAATTAAACTTAATATCAATAATTTTCATCGAAATAGATTAAATTTTTCGTTCTTATA